GAATGACTGTGAGCTCATCAACACTAGTAGTGTCTCACACATTTTAATTTCTCTCTCAGTGCAGCATCCATGGTGCTTTGCACATAGTACATCCCTAGAACTTGACTTCTGGATATGGAAAGGGGACTTTGGAGCTCTATCGCTAATGAGGAAAGTGATTTTATAGATTGTATCTTGCCCAAGATGCTTGAGTGATAATTGAGTTTTGCATTGACTATGAACAGTACACTCACTAGACTCATAGCATAAGTAAAATTGTAAAGAAGATGTTCCGTAGGTTTGGAAGAAGCTTTTTAATCACTTTGTCTATATGCAAATGTATCCTAAGAAATACAGGTGAGTATGACAGGCCAGGTGGAACATTTTGTTAGCAGCCAACTCATGCACCTCCTTGAAATTTATAAACATTCTCTAATTTAGGCTGCACCATTTCAGACTGACTGGCTCCCCCCACCTCCCTCACTGGTTTGAATTAATGAGCTCCTATTGAATAGTTACTGCATTGTTTCCTTTCTAATCTTCAGACATCTCCCCACTGAGTTTACCGAATAATTAAACTTTTTCACTTAAAGCTGCTTAGCCTTGCATAACTCAGGTAGATCTCTCTGATGTGAAACATGGCCATAAACATTGCTGTCTACTCAATGGCAGGTGTACTTCTAAAGTCCTCTCTCCTTACCCATTTCCATTGTGCTAACATCAAAGGGTTTTATTGAGACTTGGCTTTACCTACCAGTCAGGTGCCATTCTTTACTTCTCCAGTTAGGGTCACAGTTGTGTTTGACTGAAGCTCTACCTTTGCTAGCAATGTGATATTATGCAAGTTGTAGTTTTCAACTTTGTAGTGATTCTAAAGATGAACAAAAATGAATTTGTGTGTGTGCATGTGTGTGTGTGTGCGCACGCATACTATTAATTGGGGAGGGAGGGTGAGAATTTGTCTAACAAAATTTAGGCTGAATGGCATGACAGCTGTGCTGCCACATTTGATCTCCAAACCGTGCTTATGAGTCACACTCAAGATCTTCCTTTTTCTCTCTCTCTTTTTTTTTTTTTTTTTTTTGTCTTTTTCCTTTTTATCGGTACCGGGGATCGAACTCACGACTGCCTGCTTTCAAGGCAGGCGCTTATGCCGCTGAGCTAAACCCCCAGCTCCAAGATCTTCCTTTTTCTCATGGAGGGTGCTCTTATTCCTTCAATATTGAAATGATTTTTCTTGAAACCTCTGTCATGAGTTTTCCTCTATACTGATTAATGGATCTCTGCCACATTCTTATGCATCAGGGCCTTCACATATAAGTTAAACAGTTCTCCAATGATATTGTTTCAATTTTATGAAAAATATTATGCTTTAAAAGTATTTCCAATTTTATTTTAAAGCACTTGGTTTCTACCTGCACCATTTGGTAACTACACCTAGACCAAAGTAAACAAATTGCAAAAACAAAGCAAAACCCCCAACCCCTCTTGCTGTGCAGAAATGGACAATTGATGCCGGCATTAAATGGAGGGAAGGGAAGGGAAGGGAATGGCCGGACGGTGAATGGGGAGGGCATCGCTTCTCTGGGATTTAGTTTGATAGATGGCCAGTTCATTTTTGGATGTTTTTACGTTTAGATAGCTTCTACTTCATTTGCAGTGGCAGCTACTTTGAAATAAATGTTCATTAACAAGGGTTCCCTGTATCTTCCAAGGTGCTTGCGAGGATCATCTGAGATGATGTTTGTAGAACATTTAGCCCAGTATTTGCATTATCATTAGCTTTCCAAATGTAGTTATCAATAATGCTGATAATATTCTTTGAGCATTACCTGGCAATTGGTTTTATAAAAGCCATGTTAGATAGTGATTGTTAGCATATCTGGACAAAATTAAAGTCATGGATTTTATGGTCAGTCTGCTTTAGAATATTTCATTTAAACACACAAATATGAGAAACTCAAAATTTCATAAAGTCAAGAATTGATTTTTATAAGTTGAATGTTTATTTTCTTCTTTAAAACAATTTTAGACATACTACTTTGAAGATAACAATAACATAATATATTAACCAATGTTTAATGTCCTATTATTTTGTTTTGAAATCAGAATCATCATTTTTATTCTTTTTTTTGTTTAAATCCTGCCCCAAAACCCAATTTAGACTGTTTGAAATGGTCTAATTTTTAAAGAGTTATGTAGAAAATGAAAGCTACTGAAATATTGTATATTCCTCATAATATAAATCTAAAGTACTGTGTCTTTTGTAATTCTTTTTATATTATTTCTTTCCCCTTTAGGGGAACAAACATAAAGTGTAACCGGTTGTCTACTAGACTTTGGAAATATTTTGAAACTTGCCTTCCCAAGAAGCATTTTGGAAAATGTTGTGTGATTTTAAACAAACATTTCAATGTGAAAAATTTACTTGTTTTCTTAAAATATTAAAAAATCAATAGTTTTATTCATAAAAGAATGCATTTAAGGTTTTTGCTTTCTTTGTGCTATTTCTGCCATTTTTCTTTTTAAATTAGTGCATATTAATTTAGAATAATGAATTTCTCTGCCATTTTTTAAACCACCATGAGTCTTATGGTAATGCATTTCTTTTGCTGTTGAGAAGAAATCTTCAATGAGTCTTTTAATTTTAACATCAAATTTGGTGAAATTTTCTAAAGGACTGGAATTGAATATGGCGTGCTGTAAATGGGAAAAATTGCTAGTATCTTGGTGAGCACCAGACACTTGGGGTGAGAATTATGCTTAATCCTGGTGGATATAAATTCATATTTTAATACTTTCTTGCTAATTTAGGATTTTGGGGTTATCCACTTGTCAGTGTTCTTGGATTGATCATTCCTTTTATTTCATAGGCTAGCTGGCAAATAACTGATATGAAGAGTATTCTGTCATGTGCTTGTTAATATTATCTTTAATTTGAAGTTTCTTTCCCAGACTCTTAGAGCCATTGATCTATGTATGTATTAGTAACTTTTCTGTTAATGGCACAAAGCAGCATACAAGGAGAAAAGATTTATTTGGTTTACACTTTCAGAGCTTTCTGTCAGTGGGCGACCAGCTCCAAAGCAGAACATGATGGGAGGGTATGATGGAGAGAAGCTGCCAACCTCACGGCAGCCAGGAAGCTGAGAGCAGGGTGGCAGCCCAGAGAGGCAGGGGCCAGTCACAGATGTAGTCCCCACGGTCGCGCTACCACGACCCTACCCCCGGCCATGTAGAAGTGTACTTGACTCATCGCCCAGGTGTCTCTGAAGTCAGTCAAGTTGATAGTTAAGCTGCACAGTTTGTGGAGCGTGTTTCCTTGGAAATTCATGATTTCTATTCACGGCCTATTTCAGGGGACCCACAGAAATGCTCACAGGGCACTGTATGTTAGGAACGGGCTGGGAAGGGCCCAGTGATCAGGCCCTCAAGATGACTCCTGGAGCACTACTTTGACCTGGGAGGCTGTTGTGTTGATGTGTGTGTGCAGTGTTAGGAAAACTCACTTTAAGAGGTTCAGACAAAATAGATAAAGTAGAACTTTTGATATTGTCCTCTTTAAACATGTGCATCCTCTGAGAATCACTACACTACACGTCACCCTTCAGGTTGCTCTGTACCCACCTTCTTAAGAGAAGTCTCCCAAAGAAAGTGCTGCAGTGGGTCTGTGACCCAAGATGAGAGCCGAGAGCCGGGGTGGGGTGGTGGCGGAGGTGTAGGGGACAGTAATAAGGGGACAGTGAGTCTCCCTGACTGTCCCATTCAGAATCCTCCTGTAGCTCACTCTCTGCTTTCTCCTGATCTGTCTCTGTCTCTGTTCTCCAGAGCTCCTCCAGGGCCGGACCCTTTTCTGCTACTTTTGTGTAAACCAGGCCTACAGTCAGTATGCAGCGAGCAATACTGGGTCTTTTTCTTCTAATTAAAGAGGCAGCTTCTGGGTGCTATTTCAGTTATTTTATATTGTGGCAAAAATACATATAAAATAAATTTATCATTGTTCATCGTAAAATAACTATTTCTTTATGTATAGCTTAGTAGTGTGAAACACATTCACATTATTATACAAACTTCACCATTACCCATGTCTGGAACATTTTTTTTTTTTTTTTTTTTTGTCTTTTTCCTTTTCATCGGTACCAAGGATTGAACTCATGAATGCCTGCTTGCAAGTCAGGCGCTTATACCGCTGAGCTAAATCCCCAGCCCCATAGCTCATATAATTTGAGCCATACAGCATTTGTTCCTGCTGTGTGGCTTGTTTCATGCCGTGGTGTAACAGTTCACATCTTGTGGTGTGGGTCACAATATTGTTCCTTTTCAAGGCTGAATACTGAATAGAATACAGTGGAGTTACTGTATGCATACTCTACACTTTGTTTCTCCATTTTTCTGTTCACAAACACCTCTGCGTGCTTCCTGAAAGGGGCAGGCCACTCAAAGGCAGGTGTGGCTGCACACACCTCGGAGGAGAGTTGGCCTTGACAGTGGCCTGTAGCCTACCCTACCATCATGGTCATGCAGACAAAGCCACTCAGATCTCTGGCCTCGCGGAATGTAAGGCCATTGGATGGTCTTGTCACTATGTCCCTTTGCCTCATCTGGACAAAAGTAGATTCTGACATGGGAGTAACCCACACGGCAAGTGATGAACTAAGATAAAACTTGCAATCATGTGGTCCTTCTTTGGCTTTCAGAAATATTTCTCTTCTGGGATAATATCTGAGAGAATAGGGTTTCCTTATAGATGTACCAGCATGAAAGTGGGGTAGGGAGGTATACACTTAATTTATTTATTTTTGTGATGCTAAGGCTGGAACCTAGGGCCACCTGCACGGTAGCAAAGGCTCTGCTGCTGCGCTCTGTCCCAAGTCTTCTTTATTCTTTGGTGATGTTTTCCCCGTGCACTGTCCCCTCCCTCCACAATGACGCCAACCACTGGACTGGGGGCCATGAGAGCTCTGAGGGCTGCCTGCGCAGAGTGCCTGCGCTAACTGCTGTCTTTATTGCTCTCATTGCAGATGCGGAAGCCATGGAGTTGAGCTGCAGGGAAGTTCCTCTTTACGTAAGTCCCTAAGCACTGGGCTTCAGGTTCATGGATCCTTTTCCATATTCAAACCGTGTGCCTGATACGAAGGGAAATGTTTTGTTTGCTGCTGAGTTGAAGCTTTTTGAAAACAACACACTGAACATTACTGTCTGGGGCAAGTATTTACATAGAGCCTTTTGCAACTGGTTGGCTTTTGTTTCAGAAGCCTAAGTTTTACTTACATTTCTCTTGGAATAATATTTTTATATAACTTCTGGACTCATAGACACTCAGTTCCCTTATAGGGTTAAGGTTTGAAGGTATTATTGTATAACATCCAGTGGTAGTCAAAAGTGTCTCTGTGTTTTTTGTTTGTTTGTTGTGTGGTGGGGAGAGGAGGGTAGTTTGATGATGATCATATCTGAAAGTATAAACTAGGAAATCAGAAGGCAAAGTGCTGGGGCTCATGGAGAAGAAATGGAGACTTGGGGACAGATACTCGATGAGATTTCTGGTCAGGTGTACCCTTTAAGGAGGATTCTGATTCTGAGACCAGTTCCCTGGTGCAACAGGGAAGGAAACTGGTTCCTCATACACAAAATGTTGGGTGGCCTCTTCTGCACTCCTGCCCTGGGAAGGAGCTGTGTTGGTGAGTGGTGGGCAGTGGGCCTAGAAAAATGTGTATGGAGGTATGGGGTAGCGGTGGTTTAGAACCAGATATTAAGGAATGGGAGGAAGGTAATCAGAAGCTTCAACTGGTAAAAAATGTATTCATCAGTCTCCCAGTCGTCACTATCCAGGTAGCCTGCACACCCTCTGTCCTTTCCTCCACTCTACAGAGACCACTCTGTACTCACGAGGAGGACAAGCTCATAAAATAAATGGGTTTCCGGATAGCACAAGAGCCACCCTCTGTGTTAGCCTGTGGTCTGTAGTTCTTTCCCTAGATTTGATTTGCAGAGCATAAAATGTACTTAAGAGGCCCAGGCATAGTTAAAGGTTGAAAACAAAAACTAGCTGGAGGCAAGATGGTTAGGTGCCCTGGGTCCTGCTGTTACTGTCTGGGAGCTTGCCTTCCCGTTTCTATGCCTCAAAATAGAGTCCCCAGACCTAACCGTGATATAAAACATTGTAATTGATCAATATCTTTGTGTGGCTTTTTGAACACAGAGCTATTAGATTAGGACCAGACTAGTGGAAGAGCTACTAATACACATTGCCTGAAGAGATAAGACATTGAAAGGAATCAAATGCACACAGTTTTTATAATTAAAAGTATACCCATTAGAATAAAAATGAAAAGTACAGAAAGGTATTAAGAAAATGTCAGAAAAGAAAACCCACAAACTGGGAAAAAAAATCTTAGTGAACTGTCCCTCAGACAAAGGTCTTCTGTCTAAAACATATAAAGAATTAAAAAAAATCAGATCCCCAAAATTCAAAGATCCAATCCAAAAATGGGCATCTGAGATGAATACACAGTTCTCAGATGAAGAAATACAAATGGCAAATAAATACATGAGAAAATGCTCATCATCATTACTCATTAGAGAAATACAAATTAAAACCCCATTCAGATTTCATCTCACTCCTGAAAGAATGGCCAGGATCAAGAAAACCACCAGCGAAAAATGCTGTGGGGAAAAGGGAACTCTCCTGCACTGTTGGTGGGAGTGTAGACCTCCATTGTGGAGGTCATTCTGGAGACTTCTCAAAAAACTGGGATTGGAAGTCCCATTTGTCCCAGCTATTCCACTTCTAGGCATATTCCCAGAAGAACTGAAAACATCATACCACAGTGATATATGTACACCCATGTTTATAGCAGCACAATTTGTAACAGCCAGATCTTGGAAACAACCTAAGTGTTCACCAACTGAGGAATGGATAAAAAAGATGTGGTATTTTTATACAATGGAGTATTACTCAGCTATAAAGAATGATCACATTGAGATATTTATAAATAAATGGGTGCAGCTTGAGACTATTCTCATAAGTGAAATAAGTCAAGCCCACATGTATAAATACTGAATAGTTTCCATAGTATAAGAAATGGTAAGAATACATAAAAGTATGTGGTAATCATGATTCCCCATTATATTGCTTTGAAGCCTTATAATGTTTTCATTCATTAATTGGAATGGTTTTATTCTGGGTTCTTTGATTTTATTGTCTGTGATGGTATGAACAGCTATTTTGAAGAAAATGAGACATCATAATAACTAGTGCTGATTTAATATCATCTTGTTTTAAAGTCCCATCAAGCTTTTGTTCTTCTGTCTCCATTGGTCTTAGGATGTTGTATCTTATTGGATTTTATTATATGTGATAGTACCAACAAAAACTTTTATAGATAAGGAGATAATATAGAAACCATTGTTTGTTGTCTGTTAGTTGGTTCTAAATACCCCGTAATACTGTCATTCTCTTGAATGGTTTTACATTGTCTTGATATGTTTGATGCTACAGTATATGAATTTATACTCAAATATTTCAATGAAAGAGACACTGTGTCGGGATATCCTGTGGTGAAACACTATGTTGCTTAAATTGTATGTTCTGACCTGTGCTGTTGTGTTGTTATGTCCTCTTTTATCTCAGTCTTTTTTTTATTAATTTTTTGTTTTTATTTTTTTAATTAAGGGAAAAAATAAATTAAAAAATAGCAGGATATATTATAGTAACCATTTTGATTTCCTATTAACTTGATTTGAAGCCCTGTATTGCTCTCACCATCTTGTTTTGACTGACTTTCTTCTATTCTGTTTTGCTTGATAGTACCAAGTTCGAAAGTATAGGCAACAACTGTGAAGACAATAGATTCACTATGATGACCATTCTGGTTTGACTATTATCTTCTTTGGAAGTCCTGTAATGTCTCCAATGTTTCGGTTTTGTTGGTTTTGTTCTTTACTGTTTTGTTCAATTTTATTATAACTGACGATATAGGCAATTCTTTTTAAGATAGCAAGAGACATTATGGTAACCATTGTTGATCACCATGTATTCTGTTTTTACATCATGTACTATGTCCATCCTTTTGATTTCACTGACTCTGTTTTGTTATGTCACATTTGGTTTTATTCTCTTCAAAAAAAGTAATAAGAACTGTGGGAGTAATAAAACCCAAAATGTGTAATTGTTATTGTGAAAAAGAGAGGAAAAGAAAGTGCTCTAAAGGATATAACTGCATGTATATTGAGGTGTGTAAGATAGATGACCATATTACTAGTTTTTGTTGGATCATTGAACAGAACTGTTTGCAGTCTCACTGTTTGAATGTCCACTTTACATGCTTTAATTTTGTAACTTGAACAACTATTTCTAAGATGACAATATGTAATCTATAACTAGTGATTTCTTACTGTTTATTTTTTTGAAATTCTGTATTACTTGTACCCTTTTTCTGTTTTTTTTTTCTCTTTAAATAAAAAAAAGAAAATGTCAGAATTTTACCCCTTTTAAGTATTGTATTGAGATGTTAATATATCATCAATTCTAAGGTGTAATTTTTTTCTCATTTTATTCTGATTCTGAGATGTTCTTATATTTCCCTCCATCCAGATTGGCAGATTCTTCATGTACTTGCAACCTTGGTCACAAGATTCAGATTGTTGTCACTTCATTTTATTTAAGTTCTTTGTTTTTTACTTAATAAATGAATTGCTTTCACAGTGATTTCTCCCTGATTTGGCACTAAAAGGCAAAGTTTTTATGTATCCAGAAACACATGCAAACAGCAGGCTGATGCATGGCAAGTGATGTATAAATTAATTCAGAAGAGCTTACTTGATATATATAAAACAAAATTCGAGGTAATTAAACATGCCATACTTGGCATTTTCCTTTTTTAGTGGATTATAAAATGCCTGTTATAATCGATGATATCTTAGATGAAAAACATTAAATATATTTACTGTAAATGACTCTTCCTCTTTACATGGCTTGTGTGCTGCATTTCACACTTACTTTTTTTGTGATAAAAATTATTGCAAACTGCCTTAGGCCTACCTGGCTATTTGGCCTCTTCCCCAAGAAGAAGTCGACAGGAATACACCGTAGTGAAAAGCAGTCTTGAATCAGATTTCACCAATGCAGTGTGTATCTAGTGCAGGTGGGAAAGCTAGGCCTCTGTGCTGTCGGGGTTGTCTCTGTGGGCCTGCTTAACAGTCTAGCCTTCCCTCTGCCCCTCTAAGAACCTTCAGTTGGCCCATTGTGTCTGTGGGCTCTGCCCCCACTTTTTCAACCAACCACAGACTGAAAATATTTGGGAAATCTGCATCTGTGCTGATTTGCTCTCTTGTCATTATTCTTGAAACAATATAATACAGCAGCTATTTACGTAGAACTCACATTGCTTTAGGTGATATGAATAATCCAGAGATGATTTACGGTATAAAAGGGATGTGTGTAGGTTATATGCAAATGCCTTCCATTTTATATAAAGGGCTTGAGCATCAGTGGATTTTGATATCCATGAGGTGCCCTGGAATCCATTCCTTATGGATACCAGGGGCAAATATATTATTTTTTAGTATTAGAATGGCATGTTACAATTACATATTATTTCTAGGCATAATTGTATACTGATGCTTTGGAAAAAATCTCATCACAACAGTCTTTTAAAAATCAATGCACAAGATTTGTCTCAAGAATTAGATTTGCTGAGCGGGGTACTGCAGACTATATTCCGAGTATCTGAGAAGCTGAGGGAGGAGGATTCCAAGTTCAGGTCTAGCCTAGACAATTTGGTGACTTAGACACTTGTCTAGAAAGTAAAAAAGCCTGGGGATGTAGCTCAGTGCAAAGGCTCTGGTTCAATTCCCAGGTATTAAAAAAAAAATGGAAGAAAAAAATGGTAGAAATCATTGTCCACTCTTTGGTCTCGGAGGCACCAGCGAGATGACCAAGGGAACGTCATCCTTTGGAAAGCATCGTAACGGGACGCACACACTGTGCCCTGCCATGGCTCTGAGGCCGACCACCTCAGAAGCCAACCTGCGGCAAATGTGGCTGCCCTGCCGCGCAAGAGAAAG